AAGTCATCATGAAAACACATATTTAGCTGACGAACCCTGTATATGATGAAACGCGTGTCCTAGATTCCACTACTAGTCCCCATCTCACATACAAAAGATGTTTGTTTTGTTTGGCTGAAATATTTGTGACAATATCACCTTCAAGTGTGTTTTACGTAGGGGAAACAGTCATTATAGTTATATTAGCACTGAATTTGACAACAATAGAGTACTGAGATTGAGCTAAGCTGTTGTAACCTGGCGATCAGAAGTCTGTTATCAACTATAGATTGTCTCAATTTACTCCATAGGACACTAAAAACTGACGACCTCCTTAGTGTATTTACGTTGCTTCTTCATTGTTTCCCAAGAAACACAAATATTGTGCCACCTTATACGTAGTTTGTTAGAAAACTCTCCAGATGAAGTCGATGTAAATGTACAAGAAATTTATATTCAAGCCATATTTTCTATATGATAGTTAACAGAGTGATCATGCTAAGGTGAAGTGGTACACACGAGTAAAAACATTATAAGGTCACTGCTTGTTTAATTCATAAGAGCATAGAGTAGAAACTTAATGAAACGACTGATCGATTTTCTGCGTTATGTTAGAAACACCTTGAAACTTATCATTTTGGAGCAGAAGGGTTTTCAAGTGAATCAGATTGGTTAACGCTTTTACTTGGTAGGTGAAGGGAAGAATTACAGTTTTGTATTCGGTTTGTAGTTATCTCTACTTATGATGGAGTTAGAATATATTTTTCTCCATGAAAGTTGATTAAGTGTCAATGTGTTCTTCAGCTAAGCACGTCATTCACTTTCTTCCTATGCACAGATTTAATGAGGAACCTCACTACCTTTAAAAGTCATCTGGCGACATGTATAATATTGTAGCATGAAGTTGGTTTGCACTAGATCCTCAGTATGCTTGATTTCTACTTTTAAGCCAGAATGAGTTAACTATGATTTTGGTGAACATTGTCACTTGTTAATCCTTCCTATTAATTAAAATTCATCAACCACGCTTACAATTCACCTTAGCAATTCATTACCTATAGTCTTAGATTAGAAGTTTTTTGAATAAAATTAACTCGGTGTTTTGGACTGTTTAGTTTCATTCAAAGTGTATACGTCTCATCTGAGATTTCCACTGCAATTGGGCCGATTTGAATGACCTGGTAGACGATTGTTTCACTAAATGTAATGCAACCATTTACGTTTACTAAAACGTGGGTGGTAATTGCTTTTTTATTTCAAGAAAAGTGCACAGTCACTTATTGGGCTTACTCTTTAGACACCATCTGGTTGATTTCGAGTATGCAGATGATATTGTCCTGCTAGGTCAAGACACTGACAAAATCCAGAGGCTTCTGGACGCGTTTAGCAGAAATCTGTGTATGTTTAGGATGCGTCTCGCATCTGCCAACTGTAAGATGATGCCCCAGGACTGGTTTGCTGGGAGTACTTCCAGGTTAATGATGGGGACTGAAGTGATGGAACGTATCGACCACTTTGCTTACTTGAGGAGTTGGATCAGCTCGAACGGGCTAGTTGCTGATGAATTATCAGCGCGTTCGGCATTTGCCAACTTGCGTCACCTGTGGCGTCGGCGAGATATCCGGCTACCTATCAAAGGGCGACTATACTGCGCTGCAGTCCGTTTTGTCTTGTTGCGCAGCTATGAGATGGCCGTCGAAAGTAGAAGACATGAAGCGGTTACAGGTGTTTGATCGTAGCATTGCTCGGGCTTGGTGGGATCACTGTGTGAGCAGTGTTGAGGTCAGGCGAAGTGTACTAGGCAAGACATGCTGACAAGTCGATTGATGAGGTTATGAACCTTAGTGGATTAAGATGTCTTGGATAAGTGTTGCGCGCACTGAGCCGCCGCCATGTTAGGGGAAGCAGAATTAGGTTGGAAGAAGGTTCAGGATGGCCCACACCAATACCTGGCACCAGTCGATGAAGTCTCTTACTGTTGCTCTGAGCCGTGTGGGGAGATGTAGACTGTGTGGCTGGGGTCCTCGAGACGATAGTTAATCAGTGGTTGGGGACTCACTTGGTGACATGGCTGAAAATCGTTCTAAATGGTGCAGATGTATTCACTCCTTGACATCTGAAGCCTAAACAGTTGAACTCGTTGTTATCTTCGGATTGTTTATTGTCTCACACAACTTCGTCTACCTGGACACCACTTTTTCTATCCACCTGTTATTTGCGTATTTATGTTAAGTCCGAGAAAACCATGCAGGCTTTAGACCTGGCCGTGGATGTATCGACCAAATATTCACACTGCGCCAGGTCCTGGAACATAGGCATGCTTACAGACGCCCGACAATAGCTGTATTTCTCGACCTGAAGGCGGCATTTGACTCCGTTGATCGAGAAGTCTTATGGCAATGTCTGTCACTGAAAGGCGTGCCTAGTAAGTACATCACCTTATTGAAAGCTCTCTACTCGAACACTTGTGGGCATGTTAGAGCCTATGGCGAGTTGTCCAGGGAGCTATACTCATCAAGTGGTGTCCGTCAAGGATGCCCACTATCCCCATTCTTATTTAATTTTATCATAGATATTCTTATGGAGGTTTCCCTCTCGTCACCTAATTACACAGACGTTGACCCAATCACAGGTGAATTTTCTTTAGATCTAGAATATGCAGATGACATAGTCCTGTTAGGTGAAGACGCTGACAAGATGCAGAGTCTTCTGAACACTTTGAGTGGGAATTTGAGAATGTTTGGGATGCGATTTTCACCACCCAAATGCAAATTTTTGCTCCAGGACTGGTCTTCAGCGGTACCGCGGTTAACAATAGAGAGTGAAGTGGTTGAGTTTGTTGACCACTTCACTTACCTGGGAAGTAGGATCAACCCTGGTGGGTTAGTTGCCGATGAGATTTCTGCACGGATACAAAAGGCTCGATTGGCTTTTGCCAATTTGCGCCACCTATGGCGCCGCCGTGATATTCGTTTGTCTATTAAGGGTCGCGTGTACTGCACAGCAGTCCGCTCTGTTCTACTGTATGGCTGTGAAACATGGCCATTGAAAGTGGAAGATATGAGAAGGCTTCAGGTGTTTGACCACCGTTGCCTTCGTAGTATAGGACGTATTCCGTGGTGTCACCACATGAGTAATGCAGAAGTTAGGTGTAGAGTTTTAGGGAGAAGAGGTAAGTCAGTTGACGAGGTTGTGAACCTTCATCGACTGAGATGGTTGGGACACGTACTACGTATGCCTAGTCACCGATTGCCTCGTCACACAATGTTGGCTGAGGTGGGTCCAGGCTGGAAAAAGGCCCGAGGTGGCCAGACTAAAACATGGCACCAATGTATGAAGTCTCTGACTGTTGGTTTAAGCCATGTAGGACGATGCAGACTAGGTGGTTGGGGTCGGTGGGACAAGAGGAACCAGTGGTTGGAGACCCTAGGTGATATGGCTCAGAACCGAAGTCAGTGGCGCAGATGTATACACACATTATCCTCATCTTAACAACGCTATACCGAATCTCACCATTTTGTCACTCCTCTTTCTTTTCTTTTCGTACTTTATATTTCTTTTGACTGCATTCACTTATCTTCATCCTTCACCTCACTACCTTTTTACTTGATGTGCTGATATGAGGTGTGGCAACTCGGACCGTTACGCAGTAATGCCTGGTCCTATGTTGATAATGATGATGATGAAATTCTGGTATTCTACAGTGTTATAACTGTGGACAACGGTGTTTAAATGAACTTAGCGATATGTCTTTGCTAGTTGACAAATATTTGATCCAGAAGATCTCAATTCTCAAAAAAGTCGTTTTCCGCTCATTTGAAAGTGTGAAGCGGGTCAAAAAGTATCAAATGTATTCTCACGGGAGCACAAAAACGAACGGAAAAGGTGTTTTCATGTTATTGCTTCTTAATATACTGTTTACAGAATGGGATTTCACTTATTTAAATACACATATACGGTAGTAGAATACGCTGAGCACGAGTATTGACAATAGGCAGAAAATCATTGGAAACTGTGAGACACTAAATAACTGTGTCTTCACAGTTTATGATGCTTTTGCGATGTTCATCCATTTAGGAGAATTAATCCTGGACCGTTAGATATTGCGGCGAGTGCATTACTACTTAACCACTACCCCTGAACTCAACAGTTTCCCATAACAGTTCTCAATGGGACACATTTACATCGGCTGAATTCTTTTGGGCGTACCTTAACACCTGCGCATGTGTTATGTCAAATGAAGCAGAAAAAAAGGATTTCTAGTGTAATTCGACCAAAATGTAACTTCATTCGATGATGTTTTTAATTGTTGGTATGTTCTATGGATTTGTTTGTTAGAGTCCGTCAGGTGATCGAATTCCAAAAATGTTTCATTACTTTACATACTTATGGTTATCCTACATCTTTTTATACATTTTTTTTTATCTATCTAATCGCCATTGATATCATGATTTCCACTAATTTACTTTTTTGTGTTGTTTTATTACCGTTTTTCTGATGATGAGTTGTTGCAGCATGGACCAATACACTGATAAGCCAGTCCCTGGATTGTTGATATCTGCTTGTGTTCCATTTTCAGCTTATTTTTGGTAGGAAAGACTTTAGACTAGCCTTATAGTTAGTCATCAAAGGATGTATAGTGTAATAAATACTGCTACACAGATAGATGAGTAGAACTGAGAAAGTGTTGGAGTGCTTTTTGCACGATATTCTTTTTCAGCACATAAATAGCTTTTCAAAGTTTCTATTCGTTGACTGTGATGTATGCTACAACAATCACATACCGATTTCTTTAGCGGAAAGTGCTTATTGTCACTTGGTTGATAAATTTTACTCCTTGTTTTGTTAGCGCCAGCTATGAGTGGCTTTTCTACTGGAAGAGTATTGCACAAAATCCAGTTACCGTTTCGTGATGTAAGCTTTCATTATTTTATAAGTTAAATCCACCTTAGTGAATGCACTTTTATTTGTATCAAGTTTTCCAATCTGTTTTCTATTGGAAAATATTCTGTTTGCTGCAGATGTTAACGGCCACTCATCTTTGAAGAAGTTCGAACATACTCCATGTGATATACCACTGCAATCTGACGGGAATGTGTCAGATCCATCGCCTAAGAAAGAAGAGACAAACTGGACAAGAAGTAGGAAAAGAAAAATGCATAACTCCTTTCCTTCTGATGCTGTACGATCGATTCGTCGACGAACTGAAAGCAGCAATTCCCTCCAGTCTAATAATAATTCTACTGTTGGTCTGGGTCACCATGTGGTCGATATACGAGCAGCATACGAAGACGATGATGAAGATAGGTCAACAGAATCGATTTCTGAATGCACTAAATCACCAGATAGTTCCAGACCTAGTAGTCCTCTAGTTGGTCCGGTTTTATTGAATTCAATGTTCGATCTGAATGCACAACTTTTCAAACCATGTCAAGATGGTAACAATAATCGATCTCTCAATATATCAAGTGAATTAGCCTCACGAGTTTTATTCCTTACTGTGGATTGGCTACGTCGTTTCGATGGCTTGAAACGTCTACCGTAAGCAAATATTATTGTCTGTTTCCTTATGTTAAAGTCAAATCCTATACCGTGTTGTGAAAAGTTACAGCAAGGAACTTTTATAGGTATTTACTTTCAATTAACTTGTATTTTGTGTTAGGTATAGTTAGAATCCTGGATCCTACATATGTGGAGTTCACTTTTCGACTATCTATCCTGTTTATGAATATAACAAGTAACTGAGGTCATTTGTGTAGGTCTATAGTTGTGGTTTCACTTAGAAATATTCTTACAGTATGGCGCTATTCTGATTGGTTGATTGATAAACACCTTCGTTAGCAAGATTGATGACCACCTGATGAAAGCATTCTAGATTTGCTCTACTTTATTTCTCTATTTTCTATCCTGATGCCTTCCACATTTATATCAGATGTGACAACATAGACTGTTATGTATTAATACCCAGGTTCTACGTTGGTGCTGACTAACTAACTGAAATTTATTCTCTATGACTCATGAAGGTGTAGTGAAGGGAAATAAAAATCTGTGTTTTATTTCGCTAGATAACCCTGTTATTTGAACTAGTTTGATAATTCTTCCTGAGAAGTTGGAAGCCGAGCCTGTCGATTTAGCTTCTAACGACAAGTTGAAAAGGATTTATGGGATAACCAAGACATGGGTTAACATAGAATTTTATACAAGTGAAGATAATTTTAACGTCTACATCTTTTGCGATTAGTTCACTAAACTGACCTACAGATATTTACTATCTGCTTGCATAAAACGATAATATTCAACGTTGCCTTTTTTGGAAAAGGAAGCTGGTCGCAGTCATTCCCCGTTTCCATCATTTCTCAAATTTACAAACAGATTTAAACTAAAAACCTTTATCAGTGTTCTGCATCAAATTATCGATGAACTCATCTTTCCATCTCTTCTTCTAGGTGATCAATTTACCACGGGAAATATAACGTTTTGACTAACAAGTAACATAGGTTAAACACCAATGTGATTAATTATGCATGGGAGGAGAAAAACTAGCAGTACATTTCTTTACTTGAATCATGCTTGCACTTACACAATTTTTTTTCGAAGCAAAAATTGATGCCTACAGACTCTATAAACCAGATTAAATTACCTTAGATAGTAACTGAATCTCCCTTAAATCTATTTGAAGGTTACAGTGATAACTTGTTTGTTGTGTGGTTTAGATCATGAGTAGCAAGCTGATCAGTAAAACAGTAGTACAAGAACTTCAATCACCATCTATGAATTAATATGATCGGGGATAAGTGTGCTGCACTTATTTATTTTAAACTCATACTGCTTGTTGTATTATCACTGTGAGCTATATCACACATCAATATTATTCACATCACTTCCTCTTCTCAATTCAACCGAGATTTGAACTATGTTCAACAGATCATTGATATAAATGGAAACTGTGACTGGTGGTGTTGCTCTACCCCACCATTAGTTGACGAATAATAATCTAGTATATCAATTTACAACAAGGCTGACTTCTGTATATGTTATTTGACACTTCTTTAGAATTAAGTGTTTCACAATAACAGTAATAGAATTTTTGTCGACTGGATCGTCGTGATCTAATCATCTTTGAACCACTTCGCTTGTTTTTTTACTCTTACATTTTCATCATTTCAATCTGATGAGTGCTAGATGTTGACTGTTGTATGCATTACACAAGTACTCCTGTCGATCAAGTGTAAATAGCGTTCAATTTACACGAATACATTTTTGATACTAATAAAAGTGATGCTGGTAGGGTCGCATTATGGTGATGGACTTTCTCAAATGAATTTCAAACATCCTGACCTCAGATTATGAGTTCAGTGAATAAATGCTTTAATTTAAAATTATATGTTATAGTATGGTGTGATAATCACTTCATTATTGCACTTTTAGATGATGAATTATTAGAATTCTTGGTGTTTATGTTTCAGAATTGGAGCTCAACGTGATTTGGTAGCTATTTCGTGGTCTGACCTTTTTGTACTTGGATTATGTCAAGCGGCTGATCAAATTAATCGTGCTCAGTATCATAAGTCAAGTCAAGAATTAAACGATCCACAGTCAGGAAATAATTCATGTTCACAGAATGACAACAGTGCTGGTAAGACTATGTTAATGAACAGAATGCTGCAGAATAAAATATACTATTTTCAATATGGTACTAAAATGTTAAGCAGTAGTCAGTTTATTAAGTATAAATAACCTAAATATACATGAGAATAATAGCAGAAATGTTGATAATATGTGGTTTATTCTTAACATGATGCGAATCAACACATACATGTTTTTCTTTGAACTTTGTACCAGTAATTACTATTTCTAATAACGAAGCAAGTTTCTCAGAAAGTTGTTATTTTGACGTTTTAAAGAGACATATTATCTAAAGAACTTTAGAGCAACCAAGTTCATTCTTCGCGAGAAATTAATAACACCTATATTCTGAATAGATATTAATTCATGCTAACAAACCTGAATAGATCGGTGATTGTTTCATGTTTGAACACTTATTTCTAGTGAAGACTTCACATAGTTTCGTTTATTCCATTGATTGAGTCATCTATCTACGAAATATTAAATGGTTTGAAGTAGCTAACTGAGTTTCCACTACTTCTAAGCATTCAAAAAGAAACTTAGTCATTTATACAACTACAGGTTTACTCATCCAATCGCTCTTTCGCTTTTGAAAGCTTAAAAAGTAGATAGCAAGATCAGTAGCGATTATAAATCAATAGAGGAGAAGTGGTTTTAGGGAGTTTAGCAGTCTTCCTCAGGTGATGATTCACTAAATATTGTCTTCAGCAATGAGGCTGTTGTTTTGAAATTTCTTTACGTTTAGTCTAAAACTTGGGTACCGTGATGGAGTACAGTCCCACATCAGAGTTTTTATTTCATACAGCAGAACACAGTGATACAGTATTATTCACTAGATGTGTATGATACGAATATGAGCACTCAATTATGCTCGAAACGTCATCCAGTAGATAATACTGTACCACTGTTTGCTGTATTGAATGAACAATCTAATATGCAATTTATTTGCCTTTCCTCACTCCAAACTACTAGTTTAATATTAATGATGGATAGTGGCTAGCAATGGAATCCAGGGCGTGCGTTTCGTCCTATTTGGGACTCGTCAGCTGACGATAACATCTGTTATTGATACAGAAAAGTTTGTTGGTGTACCGGAAATCTTTTTCCTGTATGAATTTTTTAATACTCTGATGTTTTACAGCAAAAGGCTTCCATTTCATTGCGAACACCATCATTATCGGTCTTCATATATGCATGTGGAAATCACATTTGTGTCATCCTTTTTGGTTGTTATTACAGTTGATATCCACAGTATTCTGACTACTTGTTAGCTTATCTATTGTTATTGTTTTTTTATTTTGATGAGTAGTGAAAGTCATTACCCATTTTGTTTACTTCTTGAACCTTGACAGCTAAACAAGTCAGTGGAAGGCAACAAGTAGATTCTCCATGCTGTGCTACAGCAACGAGTTCGCCTATGAAAGAGTCAACGGATGTATCTCACTTGAAGCCTAGTTCTTCGTCATCTTTAGCTGTGATAGAATTGGTTGAACAATTGATGAAACAGTTCTCAGGAGCTGAAATCGATACACATGAATACACCTATCTTAGATGTATGGTTATACTTAGTTCCGGTACGTTGTATTGTCTTTTTTCTGAAATATATCTCCTTTCTATTTCTGCTGGTGAAATACAACTAACGTAGTGGCATATTGTCTATTGTTTTATGCTTACCAATGAACCCAATACCTTTTGTTACACTGTAACAGACAAAAACAAAAACGGAAGTAAAATGTGTTGCATTTGGATATCACTAGTTTAAGCTGTAACACTTCGTATCATTACAGTGAGAGAAAATTAATAAAAATGAAGTCAAAGAAGTAAAAATACTGAGTAGAAAAGGACTCAAATGAAAAGCAGAAAGGGAATAAAAGAAGTAGGGACAATTAATATCGATTGTAGAGGTGTTTAGAAAAACAACAAGATATATGTGCACATCTGCTTGCCTTCTGTGGACTTTTAACTTGATAGCTGAAATGCTTCAACCAACGTCTTCGATTGTCTTGTAGTTGCACTTGTATCTCAAACACAGGCTATGCATAGTGTGAGCACTAAGACACGCATTACACACAATATAATGTAACCACACTACACTAAAAGACGAAGAGTTAAAAGTGAACAGTCAATTGGTTTCAAAGGTACACCCACCTTTCACATATATTTCACACAGGAAAACATCATGATCATTGTTGATTCTCATCCCAGATCATGTATGATAATCCCTGGAGTCGCTGAGTTGCATAATCTCTTGGACTTCATCTGAGGAGTCTTGATGCATCAAGCAGCCAATACAGATGTCCTTGATCCGACTTCAACATGTAGTGATCACATCTCTGCTCCTTCCAATTAGTCCTAAGTTTCGGAAACAGTATCAAAGTCACCGGAACGACATTCGTAGCAGATGTTCAGGCAAGACCAGTACTTTCACATGACATCATCAAATGAGTAAGTTTTCATCACACTCAAATGAGCACTATTGCAAGTCAGAATTGCTTGTGATGTCACCAGATTCGACGGGGTTGTCGGATATCTTACGCTTAGGGAGGTCAGGTTTTCAGAGACACAGAGCAGGACTGCTCATAGCAAGGCGTCGTGACATCGAGTTTACAATCAGGCTAACATTGTGATTGCACTTAAGGTTGTCCAACTTGTCGTATATGACTCTGGCTTATGATATTCAGTTGAAAATTTCATCAACTATACTTCCACCAGTATTCACACAACTATTCGAACTTTCCGATTGTTTCCAACATTTCACCACCAAAGATGAGTGTAGGGCTCGATCTCTATCAATCTTACTAAATACTTTCCACTTCGATTGTGTAAAGCAAATATCACGCTTATGGACACCTATTAAATACGATTTGAGTAGCCGATATGTTATTTAAGAAAATGAAAACAAGTGCTTCAGCGAAGAGATTTTTATTCACTAAGCTGTACAATCTTATTTATATACAGTTTCGGTGAGGATTTACAATTTGTTTCGTGTATGAAAGCAGTTAGTTAAGCATTGCAACAAGCAAGGTAACATAAATAACAATGGAAATATTATTTTCGTCCTAAAATGATCAAAATGCTTATGAATGTTTTAAATTAATCAGAAGGCGTAGTAAAAAACAAAGTTGTCATGACCTAAAAATGAACATCTGGTTAGATTAGTGAGTATTGCTCAAGATGACATAGAAATTGAGTAAAGATGTTATTTCACCGTAAAATGGTAGTGCCTTGATGCTGCAGGTTGATGGGCCTTTCTCCTGGTCGCAGATCTGCATCGCTGTTATGCGCCCTCTAGAACTATCTCAAGAATGTTATTGGCGGTATTTTTAGAGAGAGATGGTAAATCAGTAATTACAAAAGAGAAGTGCTTGTACTATTTGAAGCAAATGGCTTCTATATCACCCTTTATTGAATGTTATGTAGCTCAAACTTTGGAATAGTGAAAATGAGTACTCAATTTTTATCAACCACACTGTGTTACGTAAATTCGTACATAGATTTTTGGTGTTGAAGATCAGAGATCAAAAACTTTATGTCTAAATGAATACTGAAAAGACTATGAAAACTATTCTTTAGCAGATATTGTCAATATTATCAGTGGTTGGTTATTTTTTGAATAGGAGGTACCTGCTTTACTTTGATAAGGCATCAATTCATGTAAAAGTCTAACCTGTATATTAGATGGAATACATGTTGCTACTTACTAGATTAGATGTTTCCAATAGAATGTGTATTCCGTATATACATGTAGATAATCACATTGTAACGTCTGAAATCGATATTATTTGAGAGTTAACAATGCGTTCACACAACAACCCATGTGCAAACAGATTAATTCATCCCAGTATAACAACGGAGAATTAAATGTATCGATAAGAACGCTTGGTTTTTTCCACTGATGTAGTACAGTCACTCGATCTTTAGCCATTGGATTATGAAGTTTGAATCCAGTTGTTGTGTCAATCTAGTTTTGATAGTGTCTTTAGATATCATGCAGTATGTATAGCTCAGAGATCTGATACACGAACCTATATTATGGTTACTGATGCATATTATTTTTATTCATCTCATCTTGCTTTCATTTCATGTAGGGCGTTTGTGTATTAATGCCAGAGATGCCAATTTAGCCAAACAAATTACTGAGATGGAATCACGTGTTTTGAGTGAATTTTCTGAATTCTTATCAGCCCGTGCAGCAGCTTCACCATCCAGTACTGGTTCTCCTCCCTCGAGTAGAAAAAAGATGACAAGAAATGTCATCAAAAGAGTTCTTGTCCTGACACAGCTATTATCTACACTTCGTTACTTAGATCCAAAAGATTTAGAGGAAGCATTCTTTTCAAGTGAGTTATATTCTTTTATATAGAAGGTTATCCTAGGGTCAATCGCTTATGAAGCGATTGTGACAATGTTTACATTTCATCTGTTGCACTATCAACTCTCAGTACTTTCTGAAATATGTACCATTTCTGTTTGTTAGTTTATTATTCCACGTTGGTCTGCACAATCATTCCAGTTAGAGTAGCTGAGTTTCAGTGTGATATATATCCTTTCACTAGTGAATGAGTATTGAGACTGAACAAAAACGACTGTCTTCATCTTCTTAAATTATCAAAGATAGCTAGTTTTCCCAGCGATATAGTCGAGATTTCGTTTTCTGGATAGTGTCAAAGTAAAATGTGAGATTTGTTTCATTTTACTAGCGTGATTCCACTGTTTCACAAGTACTTCAAAATGTAACATTCACCTAAGCAGAAGCTGTTTGTTTTAGCTACTAATGCTTTACAAATTATTTTTAATGAGTGGATAAATTTATCTATTCTTTCTGAATTGACTAGTAGTGTGATATGTGCTACTTGCAGGAACATATGTTAGTAGTATATAGTATGATGTTCATGGGAAAAGCAAGTAGAATTGTCATCCAATCAGTCAAGATTCTGAAGAAGGAAATGAAAAATGTTAGATAGGAAACGAAGCAACAGAAATTGAAGACCAACTCACCTCAGGTGTGGAATACAGAGACTATTTGCATGAACTGTTTTTAGTGTAAGGTTTTCATACTTCACAAAGACTAAGTGTAAATTCTCAACTTCATCACTTCTCACTACAGCAGCATAATTCTCTCTTTACATTTATTTATACGGCTACCTGATCGAACTATCTATGATAATATCCAGTAACAGTGAATCAATATCCAACTGGGAACCACTCAATGAGTCAACGTGACCATTAAACCAGTCTTAATTTGAGGAAGGCGCGTTAGTGAAGTAAATGTATGTAGTAGTAATGCAACAATCCGCAAAAATATTAGGTCAAAAAACCATTCTGGGCTGTCACCAGGATTACACCAACCTATTCGCTTAATATTCATTTGACTAATATAGTCATCTGCGGAGCTTTTCTGTTTGAAATTTGCATTAAGCTGGAACACCAATTTGGGCTACTAGTAATGCTTTTTTGAATGGGAAAGGTGGCTTTTGTAGGTTTACTGATATGCTGCTTAATGTCAGCCGTGTGTACCAAATGTACTTTCATAGCCATTGTTAGGTCGGAGTTAGAAATTTCCATTGGAGTAGGCTATGATCTTTAGCGGTATGAAAGTGTTAAATTGTAGCGATGAATCGTTACCGTTGTACGTTTACTACTCATTTGATTTCGACTATCAAAATATGCTTTCTGATAGCATGTATTCATATACTAATCAGTGCTATACGTTTAAACTTTTTTATTCTTAGATTTACTTGGATCAGTATCGATCGCTCAAATTCTTCCATATTTATTAGAATCAAATGATCTGTTTGTTCAAAGTCAAATGGTAATGAACTCATGTTTATTGGACAGTCCTCTTGTTCACAAGCCCGGTATGAATTCAGTTAAATCTATGGACAAACAAGTTTTGAAGTCTAGTTCAGAAGCCACTGATCATGAATTGCTTCAAAATAGTGTAACGGATAAAAATGATTTCCCCACTTTGTTGTCGTCTGTTCCGAATCAGACACCATCACAGAGCAGACCAACTTCTTGTCAGATCCTGTCGTGTAGTGAATTGAAAGATCAACACATAGAACTAACAAGCAATACACCACTTCCAAACGATGAAGCTAAAGACGCAGCTTAGGTATTAAAGATGAAAAGTTGAAGATCGAAGTCCCTCTTAAAATGTCTTTCCTATCAAGTTACATGAATTTGAAGAAAAACTGAGAAAAAGCGCCCTATATTCCTTTTAGCGCCAATACCGTTAGGGATATTATCGCTGATTGTTCAGTTCTATGCTGAAGAATGGTTTGGAGTGGCTTAGCATGACAACTAGATAATTATTCCTTCGAGCAGTTTATGCTATGAAACGTGTGTATTCCTACAAACGCTCCAAGTTCTTTTTTCGGTCTTAAAATTTTTTCAGTGAACATGAAAAGACATTTGTATATTTTTCTCTTACTTAACGGCAGAATGGGGGTTGTAGTTTCCAATCTATGCACACTATACATTCACAGTTTATTTATTTATACAGCTACCTCATTTCTGTGCCAGGTTTAATATGTGTTCGTTATTCCTGTCTCTCTCATTTTACTGACTATGTAACACATAATAAATTGGAAGATCCTCTAATCATTCCTTACAGCGTAAACATGCATATGTATACATACTTTATGCAGCTTTTCTTTATTTCATTTGATGACTTCAGATTATTCCTTTTTCAAAGAAACCCACAAATATGCAACGGAGCTTTTTTCTTTCTATACACCTGTTGTCTTGTTCAAGTTACTTATAACCACTAACAGTGATTCAAAATGTTATGATTTCAATCACTGATAATTTCTATTCATCATATATATATATATATATATATATATATATATATTATTGTGTACTAACTAAGCAAATTTAAGAGTATTAACATACGTTATTCAACGGACAAAGAGCGCCACCTTCTGATTTTGTGATTTAAGTTTAATCCATACTATACCTATACATGCATACACAATAATGAGTGGATCAGGAATCCGAACTACTCTTATACTTCGGTTTTAAACCTGGTTATTTCTTTTCATTTGCATACAAAAATTCATAATGTACTTAACTCTAGTGTGTTGTGTGATATCCTAAATGTGGAATTGACATTTCTCCCCCTTGTTTTGTCTTGTGTGTGTGTTCTCCCATTTGTAGATGTGTTTATAACACCGTGATCTAAATATTAAAATAGTATTGTAAATCTGTGCGTAAGCTTATATACATATATAAACATACATGCTTTCAAAGACTTGTTCACCAATAATTCACTGTATCTTGAAGGATAAAAAATTGACATCTTTAGGCACTAAGAAGTCAAGTGTGCAAGTGTAGTCACTTTAGTTTTATTATCAGGAACTTCTACAAGATTGGTAACCGTGACATAATTACACAAGTTTGTGGAACAGACTAAAAGTAAGACATAAGATAGAGTTGTAAATAGTCTTTTAATAAGTTACCAAGGACGATAGCATTCAGTCTATGTGAAACAGCTGGTCTATTGATTTAAAATCACATGAAAGATTCTTCTTTTGGGTAGGCCAAATAAATCAGTGGTTTAGATCCAGAAAAGTTAGTAAAAAAGTGACAAGTATTATGCATAGGTCAAATGGAATGAATGTCTTCTCAGTGCGCTAAATAGTTGGCCCGTTTATTGAAATAATACTGAACACCTGAAAATATCAGTAACACGACATAGATCCCGGCTGCTATAAAGCAATTGTTTGACACCAATACATAAGCTTCCTCAACATGCAGAGGGGCATAACCACTAGCCGCCCATGCGGTTTCATTTAATGGTATGTCCTCAGAGAAGGCGACTGCATTTACGCGGGCAAGAACACCCATAAGAAGCTGAAAAATAAAACAGTGGGAATAGTTAGAGATATTATTTTACGTCAAATGAAAGTTGCTTCGTAGGGAAATCAAATTATCACTTAAAAGATGAAATGTACATCGGGGTAGCGAGGCAAATATATATTTTTACCTTCCTTATTTATGGAGTCTACAGAAAGAAAACTAATCACTCTAGTACCTGGGTTGTGTGATTTGCAATTCTGGTATCTTGTGATCGGGAACATTTACCAACAGTTTAGTAATACAAATCTTAGACTGCAGAGTGAAAACCACCTGAGTAATGTAACGCCTTGCACAGAAAGGTCACACCACTACAGCAAGCGAAAAGAAAATAACAGGAAATAATCGGATGAAGGTAGATAAAAATGCTCAAGCAGTTGAAGATCGATAACGAACGAATTCATCAACACAACTCGGACCGATTCCCAGCTACATCTCACAAAGGTTCTCTAACCATTGACTCTTATAAATAATCTGGAAAGACAGCTGCTATCTTGATTTGGTGGTTGGGTTAATTTATCACAACGCAACAAACCATGCTGATGAGGACACTTGTTCCCTTAGGATGCAATCATCATACCAAAAAGATCTGTCGGATAGAGGTAAGACAAAAAGCAGTTACCATTAAGGTGTAAACAGCTACATTATAATGGGGGTCCGAAGGCGAAGTCGTACTTCCGGATGAACGGAATGTGATAACAGTAAGGTGTTTTCGTGCATGGCTGGAAGTCCATACTGATGCTGCCATGCGTTCGGAAATGGGAATTAGAAAAGGTTTACCGGAAAGCAAACTCTTCGTCCTGTGGTATTCTGGTGCCGACGGTATGGGTTTTCTTGTTTAAAATTAGCACAATTAAATCACAATCTAACAATCTTAAAAAGGTCGTAAATGACCAATTTGAAGCGCGGGCTCTTCGGTGACATACTAGTAACTAGCCACTTCGTCTTTCAGTTGCCTCGCAAGAGCAGTTTCCATGACGTGGGCACCAGGGAAGTGCACCAATCACCTGCACGCTTTCAACAGAATACAAAATTCAGTTAGTTATAACCCTCCTTTCTTCTGTCGCCCTTTAGTGCTCACTTTCTAACATGGAAATCAGACCCCTTACAACTTTTTCAACCTCTCACCTTGTGATCATTGTCAACGATGATCCTAACAAGCAAAACACCATTTGTAGTATCCTAAAACCACGTTGCTAATTTTACATTTGACGTGTGGACGTCCCCATCCTATACCAATCTCACAATAGGTGTCTCTTGCTGGAATCTCGAGTAATAGATATATCCAGTGTTTCTGAGACATGCATGCAGGACCATAATATGTTTTTTTACTTGGCCTCATATGGGTAGTATGGTGAATCCGCAGGATTCAGGGGTTTCAATAACTAGCTCTCGTGGACTCGCTAGTGTTGACAAAGAATCAAGGAGTACAGTAGAAAGCGCGCCGCTCAACTGCATACCAGTCAATGGACGTTTGTATGCTGTCTATTTGAATAGGTCTTTAAAAATGGAAACACATTGATATCGATTCGTAATCTGCACCTACTCCTCTTACTAACTGTAATTCGGGTGATACGAAGGGTGAGTTTTACCAAAAGCTATTAATTTCACTATATGCAGCTAAAAACGCTTAACTATACTCATAGTGGCCAGTGACTTCAACACTGAATTAGGGAAGCTGCACTAAACAGAAAGGCATCTAGGAAGTATTGCGTGCCAACTAACCGACAACAGCGATCGTCTCTTACAATTTAGTGATGACAATCACTTGTTTCTGGTTAATACTAACTTCAAGTACAGAGAGAGAGAGAGAGATACTGTTTCAATTCACATTCGCCGATATCACACCAATGATAGACACAGATAGATCATATTGTTAGGAGTCATCAATGGAGACAACCGGTGTAGAATTGTAGCTCTTTATGAAATACTTATTTAAACTCCAATTACGCGTTAGTACCAGTATGCGTACGTCTCGTTTAAATGGTTGCAGGAAACAGGTAGCAGGGAAGCATCTATGTACCAGTTTGGAAGATGACAACAAGTGCGTATTTAGTTAAGGAGGAGATAGTCCAGCATTTATCTGAACATGGCGTAACATTTAGTCTGCTATAAAAATAACTGTAAATACAGTTGGTAATCCATGTTAACAAAAAGCAAAAGAATTCACCAACCTCATTTGAGCTGACTGTAGCGAGAAAAGACTCCACTTTGCTTTGACTACGATGAAGAGCGAAAACAACCTACACGTTGATCGAGTCTTCGCAATGACTGCAAGCAGTGATGGGTGGTGAGAGCGAAAAGGCATCAGCACTAGGTGCAATACTCGGCAACTATATTCGCTTATTATGAATAATGACATAACGAAGATGATGATTAGTAAAATCATCATTGAGAAGCATGCGATGCAGATAACTTCTCAAGACAGACAGCTAGAACGTTGCGTAGTACAACTGAAGAGCAGCTCAACTGACCTAAAGCCACACTTCTATTGTCCAGCATCCAGCCCAAACCTGAGTGGAACATGGGTGTCCGTCGTCCAAACCTCCTCGAAGTTGAGGTTGTTTCAAACCTGAAACAATACAAAGCAGCAGAACCTGATGTCCAGCCACCATCGGCTTTCAAGCATGAAGGTGCAAAACTACTCAGCAGAGTGAAGAAGGTACTAGGATAGACAAACAAAAATCATCGCAGAACCTCACAAACAAGTGCATCGGTTCACGTTTCTACAGTTCAAAGTAGCATATAATAAAAGAAAAAGTGGGTAGAAAAAAAGCTACATCAAAGTAGATAAAAGCGCATGGAAGAAAAGAGAATTTAAAAATTATGGTCAAAAAATTCAAGCTTTAGAAGACGTTAAAAGGTTATTACAATCCACACTGTAGATAACGATACGATGCTCCGACGATACGATTAGCGGTAGGACAATGACCTCTCAACTCGATGACACTAGAAGATGATGGGACTGGTAGTTTATTTCCTCCAACCGAACAATAATAGGTGAAAACTCAGTCATTTGTATATCCTTAGATGACCTTGGCCAGAGGAAACAAAATAGCATATTCAAAATGTAAAATGAACCAATCAGCGTTTAGTATCATAAAAGGCGGTAAAAAAAAACAACAAGCAACACAGCATGGCGCAAAAAGGGCTAGAAAATAAGGCTTAAACTTTGCAGTGATAATATAAACATATTATAAGTTAGTTTTCTTAGGGACTAGCCATCCCTAACAAGGGTAAATACACCCACAACCGTTGATTCACATCGTCTCAGGGATCCCAATCAAGTACAACTATGTCTGACCATACGGCTCAGGCCAACTGTCAGAGACTTCACCGATTGGTCTCACTTCCTTCTGGCCACCCTGAATCCTTCTCCCTCCTAATTCAAATTCCCATAGCATGGTATATCGAGGTAGGCGGTCGCTTGGCATGCACAGTACATGTCCAACCCATCTCAGTCCACCAAGGTTCACAACCCTATCAATCAATTTGGTGGATTTGTCTAGTACCCTTCTCTTGGCCTCGACACTGCTCACGCAGTGATTCCACCAGACGCGAGCAACGCTACGAAGACATCCGTGACCAAGACCCTGTAACCGTTTCATGCCTTTTACTTTCACCGGCCGTCCAATAGCCCCACAACAAGACAGCGCAGTAAACTCGTCCTTTGATAGATAGCCGGACGCCGCAGATGACGCAAGTTGGCAAATGACAAACGGGCCTTCTGTATCCAAGCTGAGATTTCGTGAGCATCCAGGCCGTTTGTGCTGATGCACCTCCCCAGGTAAATGGAGTGGTCAACATATCCCCCCACTTTATCATTAAACTGGCAGACGACGTTTTTATCCTCCAATCGACCATAGACAGGTTTCACTATGGGCTGTTCCCTGCGACCAGTAAGGTGCAGATATGTATGAGTCTGTACTAGCGAGTGATCGGAGTTTAAAATGGTACTCCCGAAACAGGAGCAATCCTCCACCGATGGTTCACACCAATATGTTCTACGTGTCCAACGTTGGTTTCATGTCGGCGGACGCTACGTGACAGTGTCTCATTCTGACGCTTTAAATTACTGCTGATCAGAAACAAGTGATTTTCGGAAGGAAAGTACAACGAACGATCACTGTCATCGGTTCTTTGCCATGGGATTTCGTAGATATCTCGGAGATGGATTTCCAGTTGGTTCAGCTTCCGTAGATGAGTTTTAAAGTCACTTGCCACTATGACTACATTTGAACATCTTGCTTTCTGTAGCAAAATTGACAGGTTCCAATAGGATTCATCCTTTGCACCATCCGAACTGCAGTTGGTGGGTGTGTAGGCATCGGCTAGTTTTCCGATCCTTCCAAGTCCTTGCAGATTCATTCAGTCGAACAGTTTACAGACGGCTGTGAACCAATATTCAGTCATGAAGTGCACTTTCTGCTCTGTAACTTAATACTGTCTACGCCAGCGAGTCTATGAGAGCTAGCCATTGGATTTCCGACTAATCGCAAGGCGGATTTTGGGGATTCATCGCAAGGGAGTTAGGTGAAGTCAACTTAGAAACCACAGTTAGATGCTGTACACGTGCTTCAGAGATAAAATGTACATCCATGACTCAAATTCCAGGGTTCTGGTAAACGATGCTTGCTATCTGATTCGGCATAAGGTTCGAACGTTGAAAGCTCAAACATGAAGTCTGTGGCGGGGTTCCAGGAAACTAAGAATGAGGTCTCGACAGTTTTAATTGCTGGCAATGTTCGCTGAGTGTAAGGTCGGCGAAGGTTTAATATTAGTATCAGGGGGTGAAGGTAAAGGAGACAGTTGAGAAAGAAAGGTCTTAAGTATCACTATAAGCGTGTGTGTGTGTGGGGGGGTTGACACTTCTCGGCTGCCAAACCGTGGAACGGTACTTTTTCTTAGTGCATCTAGAAGAGAAAAAGATTCGTGTGACCGCAGAGCTCACAGGACATTTGCTTAAGGCTTGTCACAGCCTTTTGAGGATTTTTGACGTGATTGTTCTAGTGCTGGACAAAGAAAATCCATACGGCCGGCAACGGAAGACCATGGGGCAAAGAGGATTGTACTACCTTTAAGATCAACCTTTTCTAATTCCCCATCCTTCCCATAGGGAAGGCAGCATCAGCGTGATATCTCTAGCTATCCTAGGGGAGCACCTTACTGCTGTCACATTTCATCCAACCAGCAGTACGACTTTGCCCTCAGACCAACGTCACAATGTAGCAGCTTACAGTGCAACGATAACTGCTTTTCGTCTTACCAATATTCAACAGACTTTTCTGGAATGTTAGGATCTTGAGGGAACAAGCTTTCCAACTAGTGTAGCTAGTTGGGTCATTGTAATATGCAAGCCCGACCACCCTGTCAAGGTAGCAGCTATTGGCCTGTTAACAGGTGCTTCATGTTTACATTTTATAAATGCACTTAGTGGCGTAAACATGATTCTAACCGGTTGTTTTAAGATAATCTTGTTCGTTATGACCACTCCACCATAATTATCAGTACGAATTTTGGTCAAAGTAAACTTCAATGACTGGTAACCTTGTTCGAGTACGCATCAACAAGTCAGACCCGAACATATAAAGGACATGATAATAAATCACGAGAATGGCATTTTATTTAGAAATTGTTTCACAAGAAAAATAAATACTTCTATGCTTTCGTTAGGTTTATCATCTTTGAAACCATACCACTATCGGTGATGGTACCAATCCATATGGCACATTATGATCATGCTCACAAACCTTTGGCTTTTTAGTAGCTTGAAAAACGAAAATCAAAACCATATATTCTTATAATGTTAGTTATAAGGGCCATCACCACACGCATCCATAATGGAAACTTTTCGCAAACAAACTAATTCTCTGAAAATGATCACCTGCGAATTCTTCATTGTTATACATCAATAGTCCATGCAGTGGCAGTGTGGTGAGCAAACACATACTAATGACGTTGACCATGCTACACAGCATCTACAGCCTGACTAGTCGCCCCCTAGAGTTACCTGTCTAGTTCAAACCAATGTTTTACAAATGTTGCGACTCTTACCTTGAGTCTTTAGAACTGCTAAACTCATAAGACAAGATTGACATGTCAGAAAAGCGCACACCATGTATCCAAAAGATTTGGTTTAATATTAGTTAACCTTCGGTGAAGACCGAGTAGAAGTTATAGCATCACATATACGTTTACATATATGTATGCCTTGGGCTGATAGAGAACTAACGCTAAGCCATAACCGATATTTGCTGGGCTAGTCTTGCTCAATGGTGCATAACCACACATATTCCTCAAAGAGATGGCTCTGGGTTAGCCTTAGGAAATTATTTAACGGTTATACTATGCTAATGAAACAAGCCTTAATAAATGAGTTAGATAAACACATCATTACCGGACTAACAACCTATATCTGGAAAAAAAACTAAGTTTTACAATACTTACAAGCATCAAAATACCCCATACACTGAGAAGGAGGAGTACGACCGAACACTTTGAACCAATAAGCGCCATTTTATTCAAAGTGAGCGCGATCGAGAACCGTAGTTTCTGTCTCCAACGCTTAACCACATTTTCAACTTATGTTCATCACTTCTTTTATGTATTAAATCTGAGATAAGATAAATTTTCATTTAAAATGTTTGTCGAAAAAGATGATACCGGTTATCTAGGTGTAAATTTTCAACCAGTGTCTACTCAATGGAAAAAGCCACGTTGCGATCCTGCCGTAACAGAGAAGAAAGTCTGAAAATTGGGGTACCAGTCGCCGGAAGCGGTTCTAACCTGCAAAGTGCAATATCCAGCTCTGCGCGAGTGAGATAAAGCGTTAATCGTCGTTGCTCTGGCTGGTCAGTGCTATATGGCCCTCAGAGAAGATGAAGCGGTAGTTTCTGATTTGGCAAACATCGAGGCTTCTTTCTTAGGCTGGATAAACGCGTTTTTTCAACGGCTGACATTTTTTAGGCAACATAAAAATGTCCTCCGGATCGATTGTTGTGGCAGTATATCTATCACATGGATTCAGGCAACTTGTAAGGAATGGAAGCTTATAAACATCGCAGGTGTGAAGCGTGCATCATATGATTCGAAGATGTAAGCTATTTAGTTAGTGCAGTCATCATTAACTGCCAAAGAAACCAGCATTTTTATGGGATTCGTGATTGTCACCTAAATAGGACGAGAATACTAATGTATACCTGGCGTACAGGCACCAGCATGCTGTTTTTCGTTGCCATGTTGGTTGATGGGGGGGGGGGGCAGAAGGCAATAAGCGGAAAAAATCACATTAAGTGCTGTAACGAAAACCACAACATATATATTACAGATCTAAGTTCTTTGGCCGCTTATTCACCTTCCGAGTTAAACTGAATTTCGGGCGTCATGAGGTTGCAGAGCCTGTTGACACTGTATACAACCGTGACTTGTCGTGAGAGCTGCTGATGTCTGCGGAGTCACTTGTTCGAAGACTCAGCGGTGACCAATAATTGAGGATTCTACCACTTATGGAACGAAATGCACTACCAAGTCGAGTTATTGACATGGTTGACGTAGAGTTTTGGAGGCTAATGGCGTACGATGACCATCGAGAATTCCGGGAACTGATGTACCCCAATAATGTGGCATGTTTATTTCAAATGCGTTTGGGATTTCGTGACATGCACCCACTGGTTTCCGAAATTCGTGAGACGGGTTTGGTGGGGTATATAGTGGACGGCGATGGACGAGTCAAAGTATTTAGTTTTGCAACTCCGTAAATGATAACGAAAGATGAAAAGTTTCCCGAAGTTGTCGTAATGGATTCTATGTGCAACACTTTAAGGAAAGGTATGTAGCTAAGGTCAATGTTTTTGTTTTTCAACCACCCGCTTTATCGAGTGGTTATCATGGACGACCTCTACTACAGCTCCACTGTGACGTACGGTATAACTCAACGAGAACACCGATGAACGTGGAGAATGTGTTGCAGTCTTTCAAGACTATCATGGTTGATACATCATGAACCGCGATGTTTGTTTTCATCAATGGTACAGCGGAGCAGGGAGCTGTTAGTGGTCGATTCCCGTACTGTTCCATTGTGTCATGCGTATTTCGTGTCATGCTCCCATTCACCAATAAGGTAGGTCATACACCAAAGAATGATAACCTTGCGGTTCCGTAATCAGGAATGTAAACTTATGTTCCGGGAGATGGTGTACGCTCGTGACAGATATGTATGCTCATCGATATATAATAATTCCTTAGATTTCATGAATTGAGGCGTTCTATGAGAACCGAGCATCCGGTAAGATTTTGTTACTTGGGGGTAAATCTGTGGGTCAGTCGTATATGTGGACTTCATGTCTCATGCAGGATACTGTTACCCTACGTAACGAAACCAACAACGGAGTTGGGTGCTGCCACATACACTCGAAGAAACATTTACGTAGGTGCTTTCCTCTGGAACTAAACATTCGAGAAATTTGGAAATGTTCCATGGAACTATATTGCAGGAAGGTCATTGAGGGAAATGGCAGTTCGCACTACCAGGTGCATTTTGATGTAAGTTCTTTGTTCTGATTTCTGTAGTTTCAGACGGACTGCATAACCTCTGATGTGCTGCTTTCTCTGACGAACTACGCGGCATATTATATGTACAGAAGTATGCAGGTAGTTGAATCTACAGAGGCTCACGTAGCCTTTCACGAAAGACAGAAGTACTACGTGGTTGAGAAATGTGACTGTAAATGCTTCTGCTGCACCAGCACAGTGATGCTTATGCTCTGCTGTCATTTGATTCATGTGCACGGATTTCTGTCTCGGAATTTCGGTAAATCCTCTGAGACGTTAATTCACTTCTTTGTGGATGCATTTCGCCGTTCTACAAGATGGCTGGGAAACTATAAACGCACGCATACTGAAAGTAACCAGGTTACTGTGGGCACTGGAGAAACGCGAATGCTCACTTCCGCAATGATGTATGAAATTGACTTTGTGGCCCAGTCAAACCGGGAAAGAGCACGCAGACTGTTTTTAGATACGTACGCCTGGGTTCACGAGGAGCGCCGCCTGCTGCGTTAATCTTCAATAACCTCACGGACTGCTGAAAACTCACCAACCTGGGCCCATGTTGTTCCATTTCCTAAGTGAACTTTCAGCATACTTCCCCGTATTCCTTCTTCGTTGTTTACTGAAGCGGAAATTAGAATGGGTTATGGTGATGGCCGTAGAAATGGGAGGCTTTTTGTCAGTTTTGTGACCAACGGGCCCGGGTATTTAACTAACAACCAGTGCGTTATGCCTCCCGGGCAGGCTCCGTCAAAGGAAGCCTGGCCAGCCAAGCAATGTAGCTAACCCTCACAAGGTATAGTTTCTTACCTTAAGTAAGCACGCCGCTTCTGGGATCGTCAGCTCATGAGAAATACTTACCACATGGAGGCCCCTAGCATTCTTTCCGCTTGTGCCGCACCTATCCCGATGCATCATAATGGTTTTCTCTAAGTCTTCACAAGTACCAAGTAAGGATTTGTCACACTTATTCGAAACGCAAACCGAAACCATCAAGGTAGGCATAAGGTCGATTACCCACCGCTTACACCTGTCTCGCTCCATGTATGGGGCCTGATAACACTCAAAGAACCACAAGCGAGTTGTTTAGAAATTTATTTTCACAAAGGCAACAAATACAAATACATGCAATAGTGTACATGTATATATATCTGGTGTTGAGGTTAGGTCTAAACGTCTATTGCTGTCCAGTAGAGCGGCCACCGGCCTCAGCATACTGCTCCTTGAAGACAGGCCTCATATCCTTGCGTTGCATCAAAGCCCACGACTACTTATTTAATTTTTAGTGAAACAGGATTTATTGCGACAATAATAATTTGTAGGGTGATATTTTTCCCATCTTTTTATAACTTTTAGACACGTGATATCACGATAGAGTTTAATGTCCTCCTTTCTAAACCATTCGGCGCTGCTCAAATCTCTTAGGCTTCCTTACGGATATCAATTTGCTGATGCCCGTAAACCGGCTACTCTCGTGTTAACTTCATAACCCGGGAATAAAATATTCATCATTATTTATCATATAATGTGTGAGCATTAATTTTCATATAAGTGCCGGGACAGAAAGCACTTGGGAGTCAACAAATGAAGTTAGCGTATAGTACTTTGAAAGATGACTTTCCGATGCTTACTAGCAATTAACTACTAGAAAAATACTGCCACTTAGACTGAATACCGGTCTGGTTTAACGTACCCAACATTTCCACTCCTGCCTAAATACACAGTGTTTACGTAAAATCAAAAATTACGTCCATTTCATCCGGATTGAAAGCAGTTTATGCAACTGTTTTACTCCAACAACGAATATTTATCAAAGAGAGCAGATTGCACACAAAGATAAAATCAAAACGATTTGTTGTGACAAATCTTCAACCTAGTTCTACCTTTATGACATCAACTGACCTAAAAATCACCCACGATCTACAGCACTGTACACCCAGCCTGAAAACTGAGTTGAAAGCGCTTGAAAGATGAGTAAGGAAAACCGTAGCAAAACCACAGCCTATTCAACTAAAAAACGTTTTCCAATAAGAGAGAGCATGGGGAAAAATCTTCGGCAATTTCTGCAGCACGCTTGATATTAGTAAACTTACCATATGAAAAATGGCGCCAGTCATATGAAGTTGCATAAAAATGGGTAGAATGTGGCCAAACTAGCAGTTACTTTCCCAGTTCCGCTAAATAACACGACGACTATCTGGTGGAAACTATGCAAATACCCTCTTCATGCGTTTAAGCCAGGATTAATGCTTCTTTCTGTCACTTATCTTGTAGTTTTTCCTCACTATCCGTAAACGCAAACTTTTCTCATCGGTGAAGCTAGAATGTGTTGGCAGTGCAAGTTACTTTGATCATTGCAAGGAAACATATCATGTCACACCCCTCGCGCCTTTCCCTTCTTTTTACGTCCGCTCAAGGCCACCATAGATTGTTTCCCAGAGAAATTTATCCGGAACCCACCCCCTTTTCCTGAGCGCATCAACAATCTATTCAATGGCATCACGTCTTGAGTGTCGTCTTCAGATCTCCCGACTCTTCAAATCGCGTTGCCCAGAGTAGACTTGCAATGAACTGGGATAAAATCTGTGTCTTGGTAACCCTGCGTTCACAGACTTTCTACCTAAATTATTTCCGTGGACTTCTGGTCGCCGCACTCTGCTACAGTGGTGGTTACAAGTGAACGACACTCCGTTTTTGTAACTGCTGCTTTTAGGTCCGCTAGGGATTTCTCGGGAGCCATCTGAGCTTAACGCGGACATCATCAGCGACAGTCCCCCAGTTCTGCGTCACTTAGCCAACTGGATGACTTTTGGGAAGGTGAAACTCGGATTCCGAAAACATTCCGGCTCTGGCTTACGTCCCCCGCTAAGTGGCATGACTGGCCCATACATACTGTGTCCGGATAGGGAAGTTTTCAAAGTTTCGTAGCATACGAGTCTTTTACACATGCCTCTACCGTCCGGGGAAGGGTGTTGGCCATCTAGTCTGCAACTGAGGTCGATGACTTGAATGATGCCGTCTATCAGGAGAGACCTTAAG